TTTACAAGCTTTCTTCGTTTGTTTGCCATTCAGTTTCATTCTTGAAGCGTGCAACTGTTTTTGTTTGTTCTTCATCAATCTTTCATATTTCATTATTTCGTGCTTTTTGTTTTCATTTCGGGAGCGATCAAAGCTTGGTGCGTCGTTTGTAAGCTTGAAAAAGCAGCCAATCATCGCTAGTCAATCTTGTCATTTCKTCTCCGCGTAGTTCATTGCGAGGTTTCCATTTCAATTACTTGTTTACAAATTTACACCCACACGAAAATATAAACAATACAGTCCACAATTTGAATATTTAATCCATCCATTCATTACTAATTTGTATTTTACTTCTTGTATTGTTCTGAATTTCAAAATATTTTTATTTTCAATAAAATCTAATTCAATTCTCACAATCTTGATTATGAATATTTTAAGGGGTCAAATATGTGACCATTTTGTGCGGTCACTATCGGGTATGAGTTGCGCAGCTGAAAAACTTCCTGGATGCCAAATACATTGCATCACCATATGATCGCATGAAAATCGACAAGAAAACTTATTATAAGTACATTTGGTTATCAACAAAACTGCTCAGCGCAGAAATACACAGAAAATCGACAAAATCGAAATCATTTGCTCCGAGAGAGTTGCCCTGAAAGCAGACATATTTTTGAGCGGATCGTCGTTGTCATGGCAATTTGGGGGCGGATAAGTGGGTGTGTTTGTCTATGGTCAACATAGACATCGCGTCATGCGGCAAATTGATTTTAGTTATCTTCTAAACCTTTTATTTGTCTGTTTTAAAAAGATATTTTACCAAAAAATGATTTTTGGTTTAAAATGTTTCATTTCAGAGTTAATATTTTTTTTGTAATTTTAGTTTTTGTATATTTCTGTGTAGCGGGATAATTCGACTGATAGTTCACCTCGAACATCGTTTCATTTATYATAAAGAGACGGTCTCTTTCTCTAACAACACGGAGCTTGTACTGTATAGCCTGAGTTCTATTTAGTGTGAACAAATGTCAGATTGGTTGGGATAAAATGGCTAATAGATAATCTCAGTCGCTTTTATTATAACACATAYATAAACATAAAGAATTCACATATCTAACCCCAAATAGGGTCAAACAATTCACATATCGCCATAAAGGTGCGGGCATTTAAACGCCATTAAAATACGAGGACAGGAGATGGGGTGGTCCAAGAGGGTGAAATCAGGAATATACTTTTTTCCCAAATGACGAGTCCAGACAGAATGTACCCACCCGTAGGRASATGACAAAGTACCCACGTGACTTATRACTCTCCTAAGGGTGTCTCAATAAATGATTGATTATTTAATGTAAAGGTGAATACTCTAAATCAAAYGAACAGGAGAGACCTAAAAACCCTATTTTTAAACAAATATTTTGTTTTTGTTTTAAAAGCCTCTTTCTCTTTGCTCTTTCTCTTATAGACCAATCGTGATCTTTCATGTTCTTTCAGTAATCTGGGGAGGATCCAGATTAGTGCCACTAGTTCCAAGGAACAAGTCAAAGTTTTTCAAAGTTTTTTGTAAACAGAAAAATTCATTAAATTACAAAAATTCGTTTTGAAACGTATTTTGTTATACTTCTCTGTGCTGTCACGGTAGTAGCTGATGGCACAGTGTTCAGACGTGCATTCGATTGGTTTATACCATTGACCWTTTTTCTTCACTGCATGGAAAATATCAACCAAAAAGCTGACGTGACAATAGATAATAAATAATAATAATAATAAACTTTATTTATGTGTCAGAAATACCTGGCTTACTATCCAGACACTATCTGCGGTATGTCATAGGAAAGAGACATATATACAGAATTACTAAGCATGGCTTATATTACTCGTGGAGATCCAACTTCTCGTAAAGAAGATTGTTCTCCATTTGATTTAGGTGTTTTGTTTAAAGACATCAAAGATTTTTCTGATCAAAGAAAATACGAAGTAATCACGAATGTGTGGAAACCGGACGGCGATTTTCAATTCCCCAAGTCTAAAGAAGGTAGCAGGACAAGAAGATTTAATCCAGTGTGGCTGAAGAGTTTTCCTTGGTTAGTATATTCTAAATACCTCGATGGAGCTTTCTGTCTTTCCTGCACTTTGTTTTCCAAAGAAAGTGGCCGTAACTCAAGTAAGTTGGACAAATTGGTCAAGTCACCGTTAACCTTCTGGACGACCGCCTTTCAGCGCCTCGGAAGTCATTCGAATGGTAAATGCCAAACTCACAATTACTCTGTTATTGCTATGGATAACTTCATAAAAAGTATGAGAAGAGAAGTAATACCTATAGATCAGCAACTTGATACYTTAATGCAGAAACAAATAGCCAAGAATCGGGAGATTATTTCGTCATTATTCAAAACGATAATATTTTGTGGCCGCAATTTCATTCCTCTACGCGGCCGACGAGACGATGATCCAACTGATGAAAATCTGCAAGGTAATTTTCAAGCGTTGCTCTATTTTCGTGTGGAGAGTGGAGATCAAGTATTACAATCACATCTTGAGAATGCACCACGCAATGCGACGTATGTTTCAAAAACTATTCAAAACGAAATGATAACAACTGTTGGCAAGTTTATTCTGGATGATCTCTCGCGTGAAATCAGAGAGAGCAAATATTTTGCGATATTGGCCGACGAAGCTGCTGATATTTCTAACAAAGAAAATCTATCCATTTGCTTGCGATTTGTTGATAATAATCAAACAATTCGTGAAGAGTTTGTTGGTTTTCACCTATGTGAAGAAGGGACAAACGGACGAGCGATCAAAGATCTGATAAATAAAGCAGTCACTGATTTAGGACTGTCTATGGATGACTGTCGTGGACAGTGTTATGATGGAGCAGGGAACATGGCTGGACGACTAAATGGAGCTTCAACCTTGATAACAGACGATCACGAAAAGGCTATTTATGTGCACTGCATGAGTCATCGGCTTAATCTTTGCATTGCAGATTCCTGTTCATTGCAACTTGTGAAAAACATGATGAGAACTGTTAGGAAGCTATCAGAATTTTTCAACAATTCACCTAAGCGTCAGCAACACTTGGTTGAGAAAATCAAGGACCTGATCCCAGACAGCAATCATYGTGTGTTAATTAATGTATGTAGAACCAGATGGGTGGCAAGGATTGATGGCATGGACAGAATTGTAGAAATGCTGTTACCTGTAGCTTCAGCACTTGTGGACATTTCACAGAACAGAGGAGGAGATGRCAATTGGAACATAGACRGCAGGAATGACGCTCAGTCATTATTAAATGCCATTTCTTTCACATTTATTGTTGCCATTGTCGTTGTCAGGTACATTCTGGGTTTGACCAGACCATTAACCCTGAAGTTACAAAGAAAAGAAATTGATCTTGTAAAAGCAAAAGAGCAAATCTCTTTACTTCAAAGTACTTTGGAGGATATGCAGGAAAACATTGATGCAAGGCATCATGACTTGTATGATGAAGCTGTTAATCTTGCAGCCAGCGTTGGACTTCAGCCATCAATGCCAAGGATAGTACAAAAACAGGAACATAGAGCCAATGCACCAGCTCCTACATCTCCTGAGGAATACTATAAAATCAACCTTACTAGAGCTTTCCTGGATCACTGCTATCAACATGTTGGCYGGCGATTTCAAGAGGAAGTATACAGTTGTTATAAAGGGCTGTATGTCACCCCAGCTGTACTTCTTGATAACCCAGCAACATGGAAGGCGAATGTGAGAGAATTCTGCAATCATTATAGAGGTGACATACCTAATGTTGGTGGTCTGGAAGCAGAACTGGTTATGTGGGAGGCTCTGTGGTTAGATCAACAAAACAGGAATGCTTCCATCCCAGACAGAGTATCAGAGGCCTTGGAAGTTGTTGATCAGCAAGCCTTTTGCAATATTTTTACAATATTGCAACTTCTGGCCACTATTCCTATTTCCTCAGCTTCGTGTGAACGATCTATATCAACTCTTAGATACATAAAAACCTATTTGAGAAATACTATGAAGCAAGATAGATTGAATGGACTTGCCCTGATGTATRTCCATAGGGACAAACACATAAACATAGACCAGGTTATTGATCTGTTTGCACAAATGCATCCTAGAAGAATGAGAATGGTTGAGATAACCAATAAGTAAGTTCTTCTGTGAGTGTCTTTTAACTGAATACCAAATTTCCCAGTGTAATGTATAATTCATGAGTAGTTAATGGTAAATTTCAGAATCAAATTTCCCAGTGTAATGTATAATTCATGAGTAG